GGCTCATCAACCTGGGAAGGTAGCCCATTTAGAATAATGAAAACCCTGATCCTAAACCTCCACTACCTTGTGGGATATCTTCTGGAAAAGAGTAAGCAGTAAACCCTACACAAATCTGGAGTGGAGTTCCTAAGATGGATGGATGACTCCTTGTACGCCTCCTTCCGGCAACTCCTGCAGCCAAGTTGGTGCCAAGCGTATTGCTCTGCTTTCCTTTGGACCCCATCAGTGAGTCCGAGAAGGGGGTCTTGTCATCTGGGCAGCCCAGGAACTCCATCCACACTGCCTAGGCTTGCACCCCAGAGAGGTCACTTCGGTGCCTGATCACCTCATCTGTCTCCTGAGAAATCTCTATGTGGGACAAGAAGCTACCGTTAGAACTGGATATGGAACAACTGATTGGTTCAAAATTGGGAAAGGAGTACGACAAGGCTGTATATTGTCTCCCTGCTTATTTAACTTATATGCAGAATTCATCATGCGAAAGGCTGGGCTGGATGAATCCCAAGCCGGAATTAAGATTGCCAGAAGAAATATCAACAACCTTAGATATGCAGATGACACCACCTTGATGGCGGAAAGTGAGGAGGAATTAAAGAACCTTTTAATGAGGGTGAAAGAGGAGAGTGCAAAATATGGTCTGAAGCTCAACATCAAAAAAACGAAGATCATGGCCACTGGGCCCATCACCTCCTGGCAAATAGAAGGGGAAGAAATGGAGGCAGTGAGAGATTTTACTTTTTTGGGCTCCATGATCACTACAGATGGTGACAGCAGCCACGAAATTAAAAGACGCCTGCTTCTTGGGAGAAAAGCAATGACAAACCTAGACAGCATCTTAAAAAGCAGAGACATCAACTTGCCAACAAAGGTCCATATAGTTAAAGCTATGGTTTTCCCAGTAGTGATGTATGGAAGTGAGAGCTGGACCATCAAGAAGGCTGATCGCCGAAGAATTGATGCTTTTGAATTCTGGTGCTGGAGGAGACTCTTGAGAGTCCCATGGACTGCAAGAAGATCAAACGTATCCATTCTTAAGGAAATCAGCCCTGAGTGCTCACTGGAAGGACAGATCCTGAAGCTGAGGCTCCAAGACTTTGGCCACTTCATGAGAAGAGAAGACTCCCTGGAAAAGACCCTGATGTTGGGAAAGATGGAGGGCACAAGGAGAAGGGGATGACAGAGGATGAGATGGTTGGACAGTGTTCTCGAAGCTACAAACATGAGTCTGACCAAACTGTGGGAGGCAGTGGAAGACAGGAGTGCCTGGCATGCTCTGGTCCAGGGGGTCATGAAGAGTCAGACACGACTAAACGACTAAACAACAACAACAACGCAGCAGTTTGACTTCATCCCCGGAGGCACACTCCATCGTCTCTCGAGACAGATGCCAACAACAACAGGACAGTGGGACAAGGAGGTGCAGGTAAAATTCATGGGTGGTAATCAAGTCATATACTTGCAAGCTAAAATCAGGGCAGGATGAGGAAAGGAAAGCTGCAGTGAAAGTATCCCAAGAGCGCACACAACACCTTTGGCAGCAGGCAGAAAAAGGAGCCAGAATTAAAGGAAATGTAACATTAACATCAGCCACTACAGTAATAATGTTCAGCACTTATCTTGCTCTTTCCATCTTCCAAGTGATTTACAAATGTTAACTAATTAATTAATCTCCCTGTCCTCCCTATCTATAAAATGCAAAATCATGGGTAGGCTGAGAAGGAAGATAAGATCCCTGGAGTTTGGGTAAAAGGCAGAGAATGAAAGAGAGAGAGAGAGAGAGAGAGAGGGAGACAGCATGCAAGGAACCAAGGAACCAAATGCCTGGTAATTGCAATCTTGCAGTAAAACCGAGATGATGTATTTGGTTCTGGCTGGGCCCTCTCTGCCATGTTCAGTTGCAAGTCCCAGAAAAGGAACTTGTATGTGCATGCGCACAGACATGCATTAACAGTTCTGGGCCTTCTTCACATGTTAGCCCTCTTCTTCCCCAGTTAAATCTCTGTTGTATGAAGTGGCAAATCTTAATCCTAAAGTAAGGTTGCCATATTTCAAAAAGTGAAAATAATTTGTTATTTTTACCCCACTTGTCTGGTTGTGTTTCCCCAGCCACTCTGGGCAGCTCCCAACAGAATATTAAAAATACAATAAAACATCAAACATTAAAAACTTCCCTAAACTGGGCTGCCTTCAGAGGTCTTCTAAAAGTCGGATCGCTGTTTATTTCCTTGACATCTGATGGAAGGGCATTCCACAGGGCGGGCACCACTACCAAGAAGGCCCTCTGCCTGGTTCCCTGTAACTTTACATCTCGCAGTGAGGCAACTGCCAGAAGGCCCTCAGAGCTGGACCTCAGTGTCCGGGCTGAAGGATGGGGGTGGAGACACTCCTTAACTAGAGCAGGGGCAACTAGGAGACCTTCCAAGTCTCTTTTTCCTCTCCAAGAGTTTGTGAAAGGTAATGTCTGGGTTAAACATGACACCCGAGTAATGGCTTATTTCCATGTCTGATATCTTCAGATCTTTCCCTCCCCACATTTGTTGGGGTTCTTAGATCAAAAGGTTTAGAGTGGGTATGAAGTGACTTCAATCCTTTTCCTTTGTGAATCTGAATAAGGCCACCGGGTCTCCATCCTGCAGGCTCTCTGCATTCCTTAGCCGCAGGGATCACCCTTCCTCCCAATTTTCATGCTGGCTTTGCTTTTCAAAGGCAGGGAGTTGGCACAGACTTTTGGCAGGTGCTTGGGGATTATGTGAGATTAGGTTGCCATTAGCACCTATTTCATGTGTCCCTTTTTGCCTCCTCCCCTCTCCCCTTTGCCCACCATCCTGAGGGGAGGGGCTGGAGAGTTATGCACAGATCCATAGTCCTCTTGAAAGGGGGGGGGGATGTATTTGAATGAGGATTGTGGATGTAGAAAAGCTACAAAAACTGGATGGCTTCAATAACTCCTGTTCTTAGGTCTTGCTCTTTTTATTGCAGTACACGTAAGATTTTTATTGAACCCTTTTTGCAGAAATTCCCAGGATGATTGGATAGATTTAATGCTTTTTTCCACTCCTTTCAGATCAGAACACACCCATCTCTTCCAGGGTGGCTAAATATTGTGCTGCAGTATGCAGGGATTAATTTTCACAAACATATAATTTTGCTTTTCATGCCTGGCGTTTTATAATATGATCCAGCTATTAGTAATTTTATTGCTGTGGGTTTCTATTTTGTTTTGTCAGGTGTTATTTCATATATCTGCAACAAAGTTTGTTTTTGGTCACTGATTGTAACAAAGAGATCCACTGATTGAAAAGCCCTAAATTTCCCCTGCTTCACAACTGCAATACAGATGTTCAAGGGTTGCTTGCTGCAGCTAAAAAAAAAAGTATACCGGGGGCGGGAGGCCTGTGGTCTAAAGCCCTGAACCTCTTGGGCTTGCTGATTGGAAGGTCGGCAGTTCGAATCCCCGCAACAGGGTAAGCTCCCGTTGCTCTGTCCCAGCTCCTGCCAACCTAGCAGTTCGGAAGCACGCCGGCGCAAGTAGATAAATAGGTACCACTGTGGCGGGAAGGTAAACAGCGTTTCCATGCGCTTTGTTTTCCGTCACGGTGTTCCGTTGCACCAGAAATGGTTTCATCATGCTGGCCTCATGATCCGCAAAGCTGTCTGTGGACAAACACCGACTCCCTTGGCCTGAAAGCGAGATGAGTGCCACAAACCCATAGTCGCCTTTGACTGGACTTAATCATCCAGGGGTCCTTTACTTTTTACCTTTACCTATACCAGGGATAAGGAATGCAGGTGGCACCGTGGTCTAAACCACAGAGTCTAGAGCTTGCCGATCAGAAGGTCGGTGGTTCGAATCCCCGCGACGGGGTGAGCTCCCGTTGCTCTGTCCCTGCTCCTGCCAACCTAGCAGTTCAAAAGCACGTAAAAAGTGCTAGTAGATAAATAGGTACCACTCTGGCAGGAAGGTAAACAGCATTTCTGTGCGCTGCTCTGGTTCGCCAGAACCGGCTTAGTCTTGCTGGCCATTTGACCTGGAAGCTGTACGCCGGCTCCCTCAGCCAATAAACCGAGATGAGCGCCGCAACCCCAGAGTCGTCTGCGACTGGACCTAATGGTCAGGGGTCCCTTTACCTTATACCAGGGATACAAACTTGAATAAAATATTGTGGCGGGGGCAGGTACGCCCCACCTCGCATAATCAGTCATGTGACACAGCACCCAAACACTATTTGAATAGGAATTCCCCTCAACTTTGAAGGGGTCAGCCCCCTCAAACATTTTATTGGGAGTGCCAAAGGGACCTCAGCCCCTAGGAGTTGGTTCCTATAGAGTATAAGTATTATCAGTAATTTTATTTTATTTGCACAGTGTCGTCAATGTACATGGCTCTTCCTGGTTTCCTAGTGGTATGCAGCAAGACACAGTAAAAGGAGTGGGGAAGTTTCAGAAAACAGCCTTGGGGGTACCAAAGGTCCTGATGGAAGGACATATGAAAGCTGTTTTGGCTGAGGGAATAATCTTACTCTGCTGCAGGTCTAGTGAAGGACTTGAAATTTGAGGGTCAACAGACTCAAGACACACTATTGGTTCCCAGGGGCCGGAATGGAAGCGCGACATAAATGGAACCAACCATTGAGGCTGCTTTGAATCACCAGTACCCAATTTTGATGAACAGGTGCCCAGATGGATACAGATGCGCAGAGCGGTTTCCTCGCCCTCTCAAATCCAGACGGGACTTGGGAGTTTGCGTATTATCTTCTTGAAATGCCTGTGACTTCCTTCTACCTACCCATTATCAGCCATGACCTTCCTTTTGCGTCATTAATTCCCATTCTACTTTCTTTTACTTCTCCCAAGAAAGCATGGGGGCACCTCTCTTATGTTTTTAACCAAGACAGTTTATAACTAATTATTATTATCTTTGCCCCAACCTACCCACACCAATGTCAAAAGTGTTGTGCGTGTGGTTTGTTTCCAAATTCAAATCAACAGCTCATATTTAAAGCCATGATTAGTTTGGGACCCAGTGCCTAGACCATGGGTAGTTAACCCATGGAAGGGGTGCCTGGGGACCTGATTTGCACCCCTCTTGAGCAATTTTTTACTGGCCCCTTCATATCCCCTTCCATTTTGGCAGCAACAGGGGAAGGAACAGGGGAAGGAACACAGCACAGCCGTAACTTGGATCTCAAATGCCTTGGCTCCTGAACAAATTGGCTCCCGAGCGATTGAAACCCGGAAGTGAGTGTTCTGGTTTTTCAACCATTTTTGGAAGCCGAACGTCCCGCGCAGCTTCTGATTAGCTGCAGGATGCTCTTGCAGCCAATCGAAAGCCACGCCTTGATTTTCAGACTGTTTCAGGAGTTAGACTCCCGGGACGCATTCTGTTTGAGAACCAAGGTACGACTGTACTAGGATGGGTGGAGAGGTTTAAACTTCAGGAATGCAAATCACCCCTCTTGCATCACCAGATCAATCACTTGGTGAGTAAGGAGGAATCACTCCACCTGCGTGGGTGCAATTATGTGTGAAAGTGTGTGGTGGCCACACCAACTATTTTGCCACTCCCACTGCTGGCGTACGGCTCCCAATTGGCCAAGCAAGAAGCCGTATCAGAGTTCAAGGACATATTCCAGTTAGGCAAAAACAGTCGAGGGAGGTACAAAGCAGAGTGTGGCAAAGCCTTAGAAGAGGCCTGAAAATGAGATTAAGAGTAGGGTGGTAGACTGTATTTCACCCCTGGGCCAGATGTTCCTCAACCTGGACCCATTTATTTAAAAGTATAAAGATATGTTTCTGCTAATTACCTTCTTCCAGAAAACGCTCTTCCAAAACAGATTCATCGCTGCATAGCTCAACGAAAGGTGCATCAAACACACTCTCCACATTTTCAATGACCAGCAGCTATCAACTGGAGATATATCCAAAATATAAAACAGGACTATGTGTTTCTGCATGCCGAGAGGATTTTCTGCAGAAGCGGAAGTCTAGAACTTTTAACTACCTTTTAATGGCTAAGTAAGAATTCTATTTTTAAAAAAGTTTTTTAAAAAAAATTGATTTTCATCAAATTATGAATGAAAAAGCACCAAGTTTCCTCTGTGGCTATCCATTTTCAGTGGTGGGTGTAGATCTATCCCGCCCCTTGATTTTAAGATGTGCATATATATTGGTCTCTGCTAGAAATGGATTGCAAGAAACCACAACAGGTTCCACACTATGAGAGCATCTGGGTCAAACATAGCACGTATACTGAAATTGCACATTTTGCCAGACCACTGAGGGAGGCGTTGACTTCATTTTTTAAGGCTCAAAATAGTCAGAAACCCAAGCTCGTTAAAAAAACCCCACACACAGCTCGTTCATTTTTTCAGATATTAGAGGGTGCCTATACAGTGTGGTCTCTCCAGGAAGGCTGCAGATTTTTGCTGCCTATGCTACTTCTGACACAGGCAGGCAAAAATGTTCCTTTTAAACCAGGCCTTTGGTTGATAAAATTTACATCCTATGCCCTTTGTGTTTTTTGTGTGTGGTGGTGGTAGGGCTACTGGGTTGTTGTTTTCATGTTTATTACGTATTTTGTGGTTTTATATCTTGATTTTATTCTGTGAACTGCCCTGAGACCCCTGGGTATAGGGCGGTATATAAGTCCAATAAATAATAGTAATAATAATCCCACTAGTTGGTCACCAATGCAATAAAGTGCAAAGGGCAAGGCTTCTCTCTCCTGTGGCCCCAATCTCTCATTTCAAGCAGGACACGAAATAATTCTATCCCATGCCAAAGGGAATTCTTAGCTCCACACACATCACCTCCCATCCTGTTTCCCCAAAAAGAGAAGGGTCTCCAGTGCAGTAATGAAATGAAACCAAAGTGAAGACAGCTCCTGTAGATATGTCCATAGATTTATTTCTTTAAATCACTTTATATATTTATACTATTTTTCCCCCAAAACAACCCATCTGACACACTCACACACGCCCCCTCCCCACCCCTGATCCCAGGAAAGCAAATGATTGAGATGTCAAGCTGCGTCCCAGAGCAAATGTCCCAGGATCTGCTCGCAGAACTAAAGTGGCTAACAGCTGCCAGATTCACTTCCACCCAGGCTTCCACCATATTCTGTTGGGTGCAAAGATAACTGAAACAGAGGTCACTTTATGGCTCTTTAAAATGCACCCCACACGAGGATGGGGACGGGGAGAGACAGAGAAGAGGGAAAGCAAAAGAAGAAGTCGTCGCAGGCAGAAAATAAGTGGGAAGGATTAGGAGAGAGCAGCAGAAGGCGAGAATGGATGAAAGTATCAGGGGAGGAGCAAAACAGAAAGAACAAACTACATGCAAGGGGGGGAGAGAGAAAGAGAGACTGGGAAAGGGGGAAGGGATTGCACAGAAAGACATCCAGGTTGGAGAAGAAAGCATCACACGTGGGACATCTGCCGTCCTCCCCAGCCAAAGGTCCTGCTAGTTCGACTTGGACCAGATCTTTGCACTGCCTCTGAGCCTGCAGAGAAGGAAAAGCTGTTAGAATGAGCGCCAGCAGGAATTTTCGCCTAAATTAGGGATTTTATAGACACTACGTGGTTAATGGGACGCAGGTGGCACTGTGGGTTAAACCACAGAGCCTAGGACTTGCTGATCAGAAGGTCGGCAGTTCGAATCCCCGCGACAGGGTGAGCTCCCGTTGTTCAGTCCCAGCTCCTGCCAACCTAGCAGTTTGAAAGCACGTAAAAGTGCAAGTAGATAAATAGGTACCGCTCTGGCGGGAAAGTAAACGGCGTTTCCATGCGCTGCTCTGGTTCGCCAGAAGCGGCTTAGTCCTGCTGGCCACATGACCCGGAAGCTGTACGCCGGCTCCCTCGGCCAATAAAGCGAGATGAGCGCCGCAACCCCAGAGTCGGTCACGACTGGACCTAATGGTCAGGGTTCCTTTACCTTTTACGTGGTTAATAATCACCGAGCCCCAAGGTAAGGGAGTTGAACTGTAGGCAAAACACAAGGGGTGTGGGTGTCTCTCTGCTTTCCTAGCCCATGTGCAGAGAGAAGATGGCCAGCCTTGAACAGGATTCCACCTCACCCTTTGCCTTTGGAAGCCTTTTTGCTGGCCTGGCGCTGGTTGGTACCCGGAGCCGGTTCCCGGAGCTCAGAGAGATGCTGCTCAGGATCCTGGGATGTCGCTGCGGCGGCGGCTGCTGTCGTCACTTTAATTGTCTTCTTCAGATTTGCTACCTGCTGGGGCAAGAGGGCAGGGGGAGTGGGGAGGGAAGAGAAACAAGGAGAACAAAATTAAAGTGCCCAATTGAAAGCAAACAAACAACAGCATAGTTCATTATCCTGGAGGCAAAAAAACCCCTATGTATGCACCAAGAATACAGGAAAGTTCTCTCCTGGCAGCTCAAGGAGAAGGTAGCTAGGCAATGCCTCACCAGACTTAACTGAGGGATGTTATTTTCTCTCAACAGCCCATCCAAGGTGTACGATTTCTGATTTAGGAGGGATCTGTCTCTGCAAATGTTGCTATAGAGTTCTCTGGTGTCCTGCACAGTTTGCTGCAGGGACTTTCCACTTAAACTGAGGCTGCATATTTGTGCGTCATCTGATGTCTTAATGACGTCAGCTACTGATGATTAGGTTGTCAAAGTTGGCCCACAGGAGTGGGAATGATAAGGATATGGCCTGCCAAGCCAAGAAAGTCCCCCATCCCTGCTCTACATACACTTTATGGCAGGTGAACTAATGCCAGTGTACTGGAAGAACCAAAGATCACCAATGATGATTCTTCAACATCAACTTCATGGGACTACAGTGGTACCTCTGGTTACGTACTTAATTCATTCTGGAGGTCCGTTCTTAACCTGAAACTGTTCTTAACCTGAAGCACCACTTTAGCTAATGGGGCCTCCCGCTGCTGCCGCTGAATTTCTGTTCTCATCCTGAAGCAAATTTCTTAACCCAAGGTACTATTTCTGGGTTAGCGGAGTCAGTAACCTGAAGTATATGTAACCTGAAGCCTATGTAAACTGAGGTACCACTGTAGTCATGTTGTGGGGTGCCCGATTATCGTCTTCCAAAGCAACTACTCTATTCCCAACTTAAAAATGGAAAGTGTATTGCTGGTGGTCAACAAAAGAGGCTCAAAGAATCCCTCAAGGCAAGTCTAAAAAAATGTAGTATAAACACCGACAACTGGGAAACACTGGCCTGTGAGCGCTCCAGTTGGAGAACAGCCTTTACCAAAGGTGTCATGGGCTTTGAAGACGCTCAAACTCAGGACGAAAGAGAGAAACACGCTAAGAGGAAGGCACGCTTGGCAAAACCCTCGCCATGATCAACTCCTGCCCAGAAACATATGTCCCCACTGTGGAAGGATGTGTGGATCCAGAATTGGCCACCACAGTCACTTATGGATTCACTTTTGAAACCATGTTTATGGAAGACAATCTTACTCGGCTGCAAGTGATTGCCAAAGAAGAAGAACGAATTGCATCTCTGAGTTTAATTCATTTGGGGGAGAGTGTACCGTAGCTGCTCAGTGTTCCAGGACTATAAATGCAGCATATAACCCTATGCTTCACCACCACGTTAGATACCTCAGTCCTGCTCACTCACCTCGCTCTCAATCTGCTGCTTGAGACCCAGCTGCTGCTCTTTGTGCTGATTAGCCCGGCTCACTTGCTCTTCGATGCTTGAAAGGACGACCTCGCAGCCCTGGCACCTGTAAGAGGCAGGCAAAAGGTGAACAAGGCAGGACAGAGGCCTACAAAGCAGCCAGCGGGTGAACGCCTGATAAGAGAAGCACAAAGGCTTAGAGAAGGAGGAGGAACACAGGCATCAAAATACAATTCTGTAGAATTATAAGAAGCAAAGAAGTGGGAAAGATGGCAGAAGAACATGGGATTTATCATACAGGGCTGCAATACATACATAAAAATGCCACCATTTGCTTTTTAAAGGTTTCGTCAAGTAACATTTTTTATGGCCAAAAAATAAACATTGTAAAAAAAAATAAAAATGCCACGATTAGGTTTTGCCATGGCTAGGGCCAGGGTTATTTATGCCACAATCCCACTGAAAAAGCTCAGGGTGCAACCACCGAAATTCAGCTTCCGAAGTATCTCAGCTTTTAATTTAAAATAAACTACAAGCACACATACAAAGTTGTTAGCCCTCACTGCTATAGTGTAAGCTTTTACTGTGCAACCTTCCAGAGAACAAAAGGTTCATAAGATACAAATCCCACAATTAAAACGGAAACTTAAGCAATAAACCTAGAATTCAGATATGCCAATGGGCTTGTCCGATATTGAAACATCCCTGCAGCGGCTCACTGCCAAGTCTGAAATAGTTTTTGCTCAGGTTCTAGAGGCTGCCAAGGTACAGAAGGAACCCCTGTGGGTCACATAAACACCTGAAACTTGGCTTTCCTGAAATGAAATGGAACTGTAAGGGGGCTACAACAGCACAAAGAAATTTGCTCAAGTAAAGAACAGCATAGCATGTAAAGTGGAAGGCCTTCCAACTCAGAAGCGCCACAAGTACAAATTCACGGTGCAAATGTGACCCAGTGGTTCTTAGATATCATTGATTGTGACAGCTTGTATGGTGCAGAAGGGAAAGCAAAATGTCACAAAAGCTCATCTGATGAAAACAATAGCAGCCAAGTAAGAGGTTCTATTACACTCATGTTTTCAGTACCAGCTGGGGGGAAAAAGATTTTAAAATAATTATCAATAGGTGTTTTGGTTAAAGCTCAATCTCAAACGTTTTAATATCAGCTTGTGGAGGAGCTGAGGATCTGCGGAACCAAAGTAGGGTGCAAGGTACCTGATGACCCATACCATAACACAGTTTTGATAAGTGGCAATCTGGGGTGTTTTTCTGATTCTTCAGCATGGCATTAAGTACATGGGCTGTAGTTAAGGGCAGCCCCATCCCTGCCCCAATCTAAGCTGCTGGAATACAGCATCAGCAAAAGGTAAGCCTGGGTCCCTGGTATCTGAGGGCTGGCCCTTCTTCCACCTGCTAACAAGCAGTGCCAACAAGCTTTTGTTTTTTGTTTTGCAACCTGGGAATCGTCCCAGCTTTCCGTGGTTTTTTGTGTGTGTTTTTTTGGTCATACCTATTTCTGATCCTTGAAGTAAAGAGAACATACTGCTTTAAATGCATTGCTGTAGCTTTTTGTGGGGAACTAACAAAGGGAGATGTTCAGGAATTAAAAAGTTTGGTGTATGAAGCCACTTAGCCATTCTCACATCATAACACAAAACGGTTAGCAAAAGAAACACATGGTGGACACTGTGGAGCACCCAACAGTGTGGCGCCAAGGAGGAGGAAGAAGAAGAAGAAGAAGAGTAGTTTGGATTTGATATCCCGCCTTTCACTCCCCTTAAGGAGTCTCAAAGTGGCTAACATTCTCCTTTCCCTTCCTCCCCCACAACAAACACTCTGTGAGGTGAGTGGGGCTGAGAGACTTCAGAGAAGTGTGACTGGCCCAAGGTCACCCAGCAGCTGCGTGTGGAGGAGCGGAGACGCGAACCCGGTTCCCCAGATTACAAGTCCACTGCTCTTAACCACTACACCACACTGGCTCTGGAAGAAAGAGTTGCTATTGTTAGATTCCGCCCTGCAATCAGGATTACGTCTAGCTCCTTCTGTCAGAAGAACTCAGCTACAGCATGCCCCACTGGTCTGTGTTTGGCCCATGCAAGTTCACAGAGTCTTCCTTACCATTCCTGAAGGGTGCGAGTGATGGCGCTGAGTTCCTCCCTGCGGATGTCCCTCCCAATGCTGTAATCGACCTCTAATCGCTGGTTGCGTTGGTCCAGGCTCCCCCGCAGTACATCTGCGTACACGGCCTCAATCACCAAGTCCTCCAGCTGACGCACATTCTTCAGCTGGAGCTGCTCCAGCAGCACTGCGTACGGAATGCACTGTGGGCGGTGGTGGGGACACAAGCTGGCGTGAGGCGCAATCCCCCCAAAGAATGAGGAGGACAGGCAAGAGAACAAGAGGCACATAGATTACCTTGAGCTTGGAAGCCAACGTGACAACAGACAGATGGCGCAATTTGTTCTTCTGAGCCTCTGTTAACGGAGGCAGATTCCCGGCTTCGGCTGCTCTCGGGAGACAAGAAAGAATAGCTATTATCACAGCAGGTTCAATTCCCTCAAATCTTCGTTGCCAGCTTTGGATTAGGTTCAACAGTCTCTTTCCATGCTCCATCTTTTTTTCCAAATTTCTACTGACCAATACTTTATTTTTGGGTCAGTCTCAGAGGCCCTGCTCTCAAACCGCTAAGGTGGGTTCTCGCCTTCAGCAATGGACAAACATTTACATAAGCAGAACACATAAATACACAGTGATTTCCCCCCCAACCATCCAGTAATCCTACACACACACACACACACACTTTTTGGGATATAGACCCTGAAAGTAACAAATCCAGAGCAAGCCAGCAAATCTAAATAAATGCACCTTCTGCGTTTTGGAACATCTACCCACCCCATTCAAATAATGTTTGATGTTATTGCTACCAGTAAAGGTAAAGGACCCTTGGACGGTGAAGTCCAGTCAAATGGGACTATGGGGTGCAGCACTCATCTCGCTTTCAGTCCGAAGGAGCTGGCGTTTTTCCACAGGCAGCTTTTTGGATCATATGGCCAGCATGACTAAACTGCTTCTGGCACAACGGAACACTGTGACGGAAGCCAGAGCGCACAGAAACACTGTTTACCTTCCCACTGCAGTGGTACCTATTTATCTACTTGCAGTGGTGTGCTTTCAAACTGCTCGGATGGCATGAGCTGGGACAGAGCAACGGGAGCTCACTTCATCACGGGGATTCAAATCGCTGACCTTCTGACCAGCAAGCCCAAGAGGCTCAGGACTTTAGACCACAGTGTCACCCGCATCTAACCACCCCATTCAAACAATATTTGCTGTTATTGCTACCACTCCAGAGCCTGTCCAAGAACTGAGAGCCATTCTGCTTATATGCAGCACAAGCCCACTGTACTTGGCCAGAGGCAGTAGAAAAAGGAGTTGCAACAAAGAAGGGGAGGATACAAAAATAGAGACAACAGAGCAGATTAGCGAGATCACAAGCTATTGGACAACCTCCACAATACTTCAATATCCAATGGCCCCATTTTGTATCCTCATCTCCTTTCTGATCTATTGAAATGTCACCCATATCCTTCTGCAATTCTTGATCCTAGGCAGGACTGGCCCTGAGCTTGTACACCCTGATTTAGGATAAAGGTTTTTATTTTATTTCTCCAGATCCCTTAATTGCATTGGCTCTGCTCTTGGTTTTCTATACCTTCCCTCACAATCACAAATGACAGTTCCTGTTTCCCAAGAACAAGAGAAAACATACCTAAGTAATCTGAGTATGTCCCATACGCAAAGACTGTGAGCAGGCGGAATACAGCGGAGAACTCACTGTCAGCTAGCTGAAGGAAAGTGGGAAGGGGGGGGGGAGGAGAAACACCAGTAGAAACATATGAGAAATGACAAACATTCTATTTGCTTACAACATCCTTTCCAATCTGTCTCAAAGGGAGCACAAGTTTCATTGCTAATGAAACCGAATTTTGCCCTTGCTCTTTTATTACAAAGGATTCTTGCTCACAAAGGTTGTGAGCAGTGAATATTGTGGGCCTGTCTCATGAACTTCCACCCCAGCTGGAGAGCAACTTAGGCCAAGTTCTCAGGAATATGGGAAACCTTTGTATGGGCTGTACCACTCTAGACAAAGGTGGGGGCTCACAAGATGTAGTGTCCCTCCATATAATAATTTTACAATCCCTGTATGCAGAGAACTAGATGCTAGGCAGAAGAGTTCTAGCGTGGTCTTCTCTTAGAAATGCCAGTTTTCTATCATTTATTGACATATGTCTCCAATGCGGCCCAGAATAATCCATTCAAAGGTCTACCACCTCAATGAGAACCATGTCAGCGTGTGTTTGTTGCACACACTCCTCACAACTTTCCTCATCTTAAAGGTAAAGGGACCCCTGACCATTAGGTCCAGTTGTGACTGACTCTGGGGTTGCGGCGCTCATCTCGCTTTATTGGCCGAGGGAGCCGGCGTACAGCTTCCGGCTCATGTGGCCATCAGGACTAAGGCGCTTCTGGCGAACCAGAGCAGCGCACGGAAACACCGTTTACCTTCCCACCGGAGCGGTACCTATTTATCTACTTGCACTTTGACATGCTTTTGAACTGCTAGGTGGGCAGGAGCAGGGACTGAGCAATGGGAACTCACCCCGTCATGGAGATTCGAACCGCCGACCTTCTGATCGCAAGCCCTGGGCTCTGTGGTTTAACCCACAGCGCCACCCGTGTTTCTCATCTTGGCTGGCTGTATTTTAGAGGTGCTCAAATTGCAACTTTTTGTAGCTGAGAAAATGCAATCCCTGCTCAGCCACAAAGCTTACTGGATGACTGTCACTCAGCCTAGCCTACTGCACAGGAAAATGGGATAAATTTATAATCTAGCCAGATTTTCAAGAAGGTTGAGAGGGTGAAGAGCAGAATACCTATTTTTCCTCCCTGCCACTACAGCAAGCTTTTCTTACTATGTATTAGGATTCTGTGCTGCTGTCATTGAAAAGTATTTAAAGGAACACTGTATGACAGCTTAGGAAAATGGTATACTGGCAATGGCTTCCATATTGACTTCTCTGGCAAATGACCCCTAAATACCAGTTATGGACCTTCTAAGCACTGCAGAGGATGCACCATGTAGTGCACTAGCTAGTCCTCACCATAATTCTTGCAAACTAATAGCATGCCAGGGAAGACACACTAGCCCTCCCTTAACGCCACCCATCGCGAGGGAAAATCAGCAGCTCTACAGGGAAGCTTGTGTGCCATTACTGATGACCTCATTCCAGAATCCCAGGTGGCTTTCAGGAACCCCAGGGCTCCACAAATGCCGTATGAAAAGCGCCTACACATAGCATGTTTTCTTCCATCATTATGGGGAAAGGCCCCATTCATTACTACACGCCAGTTTGTAGCAGATAGTCAGTGAGAAACCTGCTGAAGCTGCTCATTTAAACCGAACGCAGAAATAAAGTTGTCAGGTGGTGTGAAACACTGAAATCCTGCTTTGTAGGGGAAATATATACTTTTGTAGAGGTATATATAAAAATAGATAGGTAGATAGGTAGATAGATAGATAGTGCTATGTCAGGGCTGAGAGAGGCTGCCTTGCCTACCTAAATAGAGGTATGAAGGCTTACTTCAATTTGGGGGGAAGGGAGTGGATTCCTTCATCTACCTGCTTAGAGCACTATAAGGTTCCCTAGACCTTCGTCTCCCACATCTCAGAGCTCACCTCGCGAACGTTGGGCATGTCCAGCAGTTCCCCAAAGACGTAAATGCCAGGGGCTTCGAGCACTTGATGAATGAGGCTGGCCAGGGCAGCTCCACGGGCAGATTTCGCCAGCAGCAGGAACTGCTCCTGGTTCTGCCCCGTCACCTTCACCTCGGCTGCCATGATGTCACCGAGTCAGCCTGCTTCAGGGCCAGACCGCAGCCTCCACAAGCTAAAGGAAGGAGCAAGTTTGACAGCTGAAGCTTTCCCTCCCATTCTTTCCCCAGAACAAAAAATCCACGTTAAACATGTACAGTGGTACCTTGGTTTGCAAACAGTCTGGTTTGCATACATTTTGGATTACAAACATGTCAAACCCAGAAGTGCGTGTCCCGGTTTGCAACTTTTTTGGATTACAACCCGTTTTTGGGGGGTTATGAACAAAAATTTTTTGGAGGCCCCATTGGCGAAAGCATGCCATGGGTTACGACCTGTTTTGGTTTACAAACGGACCTCTGGAACGGATTATGGTTGTAAACCAAGTTACCACTGTACATTTACACAGAATAGGAACACAGAATTGTACCAAGACTAGTGAAGTGAGGGGAGAGAATATATTCTCTGCTAGAAAATTATCCAGAGAATATTCTCCACAAACTGTAAATTCTAATGTAAGAACCAATTTTACAACCCACCTTTAAAAAATCTAGTAAATAATAAGTCAAGCTCATATAAACAGAAGGTGGACGGTAGAATTTTTTTGGTTAACTCCTTAACAATCCAGGTAGCCAAAGAAAGCTGCATTCCTAACCCGATCCCACCCATGTCCCACTTACTAGGGAGCAAGGCCCGCTGAATTCACTCGGACTTACTTCTGAGTAGACACGGTTAGGGCTATGCTGCAGTCTACAAAGGCGGCTACACCCTGCCAACTCAGGGCTGTGTGTAAGGTAACAAAGAGCACACGGGCAGATCCCTTTGGGTATGCAGGGCCTGTTCCAGGGAAAGGAAAGGTAGGTGGTGATGGGGGAAGGAGAGAGTGGGGAATGGAGGGCGAGGCATGAGGGCACCAGCAGGATCAGCGCAAAGAACCTGAGGGATGGAACAGGTGGTAGAAAGGGAGGTCCACCACCTGCTTTTCAGGCATAGCTGTCAACTTTTCCCTTTTCTTACTATTCGGAATAAGGGACTTTCCCTTTAAAAAAAGGGAAACGTTGACAGCTATGTTTTCAGGTGAGCGGTCTAGGGCCAGTCCAATACATTTTGGTGCTTGAGGTGGACCCCAAAAATGGTGCTCCATTTCCCCAATAAGGAAAAAGGGGTGAGGGAAGACTACATTAATTATTATTATTATTATTATTATTATTATTATTATTATTACATTAAGGACAAGGTGGGGGTGGGGAAAAGAATGATACCGGGGTCTGCTGCCCCTGTGGATCCTGTCGCCTGAGGCGCTCGCCTCACCTTGCCTCGTGTGTGGGTCGGCCCTGAATAAATAAAGGTCAAGATCCGGATCTGCTGCCCCTGTGGATCTTGCTGCCTGAGATCCCCTCTCCTCTTGCTTCCTGGGTGGGCCGGCCCTAGCAGTGGGGGGCCCAGACCCACCTCCCTCTCTCAGGTCTCCTCCACCCCACCCCACCCCCAGGCAGAGGAGACAACCGCTTGCCAGGCCGCTCCCTACCTGAGGACTTTCCCTTCCCCGCTGCTGGGGAGACCCTCTCTGCCAAGAGACAGACCACTTCCGGGTTGGCGGCGTCACAGCTGCCCTCCAGGCCACGCCTCCTCGCGCCGCCGCCTCATTGGCCGGCTCTTCGCTTGGCCACGCCTCTCTTTCCCCTCCACGGCGGAGTCGCTTTCCGAGCGGCGAGGTCGCCTCTATAAAGTGGCTTCGGCCGTGCGTCTATGTTTGCTTTCGTTTGGGCGGGAAATCGCCCGTAGATTTTCCCTCCCGCTTGAATAAGGGCCGTTTGCCTGAGGGAAAGTCCTGTCCAGCCAAGATCATATTAGTCTATTTCCTTCATAAAATGTAATAAATCGCAAAAACACACACACACACCTCAAAAGCGGTTTGCGAAAAGCTAAAACGGTTAAAACCGCGAAAGCCATTCACAAGCCCGCGCTTGTAAAAATAAACGAAAGTTAAGATGGTAGATTACCTCAACTTTCTAAGCACTTTACATTGTGGGCATATAACTCGGTGGCCAATCGCCAGCCACACACCAAAATCCCGGCCAAATAAGCCTCCCTCCTAAAAAATAAAAATAAAATACAGATCAAAACGCGGAGTGAGAAAACATGCCCGCGCCTTTGCGCCACGTTTTGGCAGTTTTAAGGCTGGCTCTATGTACAGGTCGGCTTCGCCCTGATCAAGAGTACAGGATTTCCTTTCAGCGACAGGAATTTTTTTATTAAAAATAAATAAACGAGGCAGAGTACCTCTGAGCATGTGCAAAGTACTCCCCGTTTCCCTCACAAAAGCTAATCTCTTTCCCACTGGCTCTATCACAGTTTCCCAAACTTGGGTCTCCAGCTGTTTTGGGACTAAAAGTCCCATCATCCCTAGCTAGCAAATACCAGTGCTCAGGGATGATGGGAATTGTAGTCCCAAGAAACAGCAGGCGACCCAGGTTTCTGGAAATTAGCTAAGGCAGTGAATTGTGGCCATTTAATAACCCAAAACTAGACTTTCTTCCCACCCCACAAGGCAGTTTCCATGAGCTGTGTGTCTGTCTTAAGGCTTCATAGAATTGTAGAGTTGGAAGGGACACCAAGGGTCATCTAGCTCAACCCCCTGTAAGGCAGGAATCTCAATTAGATTATATATGTTGGATTGCCACCCAACTTCTCCTTAAACACCTCCAAGGAAGGAGAGTCCACCACCAGTGGGAGACTGTTTCACTGCCGAACAGCTCATACCGTCAGAAAGTTCTTCCTGAATATTTAGCCAGAAAACTTCTTATAACTTGAGGCCATTGGTTCCAGTCCTACCCTCCGAAGCAGGAGAAAACAAGCTTCCTCCATCTTCCACGTGACAGTCCTTTATACATTTGAATATTGCTATCATATCTCCTCTTAGTCTCCTCTTATCCCTCAACAGTCCCTCATTAGCTGCTTGGTCACCTTCCTCTGCACACATTTCAGTTTGTCAATACAGTCATACTTCTAGTTGCGTTCGCTTCATGTTGCGGATTTTTGGGTTGCAAACGCGGCAAATCCGGAAGTGTATAGAAGCACCGCTCTAGTTGCAGACTTTTCAGGGTGCGAACGGCACCCCAGAACGGATCGTGCCCGCAACTAGAGGTACCACTGTATCCTTCTTAAATGGTGGCATCCAGAACTGTTGTTGTTTAGTGGTTTAGTCGTGTCCGCCTCTTCGTGACCCCCTGGACCAGAGCACGCCAGGCCCTCCTGTCTTCCACTGCCTCCCGCAGTTTGGTCAAACTCATGCTGGTAGCTTTGAGAACACTGTCCCACCATCTCGTCCTCTGTCGTCCCCTTCTCCTTGTGCCCTCCATCTTTCCCAACATCAGGGTCTTATCCAGGGAGTCTTCTCTTCTCATGAGGTGGCCAAAGTCTTGGAGCCTCAGTTTCAGGATCTGTCCTTCCAGTGAGCACTCAGGGCTGATTTCCTGAAGAATGGAGAGGTTTGATCTTCTTGCAGTCCATGGGACTCTCAAGAGTCTCCTCCAGCACCAGAATTCAAAAGCATCCATTCTTCGGCGATCAGCCTTCTTTATGGTCCAGCTCTCACTTCCATACATCACTACTGGGAAAACCAGAGATTGAACTATACAGACCTTTGTCGGCAAGGTGATGTCTCTGCTTTTAAAGAAGGATACTACTGTAAATGGTGGCATCCAGAACTAGACACAGTATTTTCCAGGTGTGGTCTGACCAAGGCTATTACTTCCCTTGATGGAGACACTAGACTTCTGTTGATGCAGTCTAGAATAGTCTAGAATAGCATTAGCTTTCTTTTTCTTCTTCTGCTGTATCACACTGCTGATTCATGTTAACCTTGTGGTCTACTAGACCCTAGATCCTTTTCACATGTAATACTGGCAAGCCAGGTGTCCCCCATCTTATATTGGTGCAGCTGGTTCTTCCTCCTTAAGTATAGAACAACAACAACAATTTTATTATTTGTACCTTATTCATTTTATTATTTGATCCTTATTCATTTATTTACTTTACCTAATGCATACCCTCCCCTTTACCTTTCCCCTTTCTCTCTGAATGTCTGTATGGAGAGAAACAGTCAGGTTGTGCATCTATAGCAGTGATGACAGGAGGAATGACGACTGGGAGAGAAGAAATGCCATGGTGCATCTGCAGAGGCAGAACCGGACGCCTTCATCTGCCCCAGCTGCAACAAAACATGTCTCTCCCATATCGGTCTCTACAGCCACAGCAGGCACTGCAACCATCCAATAGTTGGACGCCCAAAGGCACACTCTGCCATTGTCTTCCGAGACAGACGGATACCAACTCAGCTGTATGTCTGTGTTTAAAACTGGACAAAATCCAACAAAAGTATGGTGTGTGTTTTATAGTAAAAAGAGACTGTCTCCTCTCTCTGTATATGAAGATGGGCCACTGTGCAATTGTCATTGAAAAGGGGGTGTGATAGTTTCACACAAAAACTGTGTTCAGCTGAGGTACCCTTCAAAAGACCATGAGAGGCTCTGATTTTTCAGTGCTGTTGGCTAGAAAGAGGCTCTTTCCAGTATGAGGAACAGCAAGACACCATCCGATATTGTCTGTCTGTCTGTCTGTCCATCTGTCTGTCGCAACAAGCAACAGAACCACCAATTGTAGAATGCTATTTCCAGAGAAATTTCCCCGGCCCCTACTTTGTCATATTTTCAGCAACGGATGAATACACTTTTAGTCTCCTGGCCAACTGAAGAACGTTAACGGGTTGGCTTTTGGTGGCTGTTTTTGTGTTCATTCTGGAGTTAGGAGTGGAATTCTTTTTAGGGAAAACTTTTAGTATTTCCATATCTTTTTTGTGCTAATGAACTTGCCGCTGTGTATTGCATTTTTGTATTTTATTGTCCTGAAAATTGCTTCAGGACTCCTTTTGGGTGTGTGTAGCAATATGAAAATGTAATAAACTAAACTGAACTATTGATCTATTATCAACACGTCCAGCCTAAGGTTGCAGTCCAAACTGCAATTACCCGGGAGTAAACGCCACTAGATTCAATAGTGCTTACTTCTGGTGTGTGTAGTCACACCATGCATTTAATAGGTGCCCCCCCCCAAAAAATATAATTGGAATTGTGGCTTACCCCTTGCAGAGCTACAACTCCCAGCATCCTTAAAGTACACTTCCCAGGATTTATGGGGAGTGTAAATACCGGTACTTTAAATGCACGGTGTGCATGCAGACATGGTTAGGATTGCACCACCCACCTGTCAAATTTGGTTCACTAGGAGATTAGGCCATAAAAGGTTTCCTCACCCCTGGCATCAGGTAAAGATATCCCGCCCCGTCAATGCAAACAGAAATGAATCTGACACTAATGAAGCCATGCTGATGTTGTAAAGGTAAAGGGACCCCTGACCAGTCGTGACTGACTCTGGTGTTGCGGCGCTCATCTCGCTTTATTGGCCGAGGGAGCAGGCGTACAGCTTCCGGGTCATGTGGCCAGCAGGACTAAGCCGCTTCTGGCGAACCAGAGCAGCGCACGGAAACGCCGTTTACCTTCCCGCTGGAGCAGTACCTATTTATCTACTTGCACTTTGACGTGCTTTCGAACTGCTAGGTTGGCAGGAGCAGGGACCGAGCAATGGGAGCTCACCCCGTCACGGGGATTCGAACTGCCGACCTTCCGATTGTCAAGCCCTAGGCTCTGTGGTTTAACCCACAGCGCCACCTGTGTCCCACTGCTGATGTTGTAGGGGGGCATAATAGGGAGCGGAGAAATAACTGCACTACTCTCTAGGGCAATAATGTGAACACACGCACTGTGAGGTAGCACAGGCCGCAGTATGGTGATTTTCTCAAGGTCATCTGTTGAATATGATGGCTAGGCAGGGATGCAAACATAGTAGTATTCACCACACAAGCCTGATTTCACAATACCCTAGTTTATGAATATTCCAGCATTAAAATTTATTTAAGAAGGATGGAATTCAAACACATGGCGACACTAAAGTTCAGTGCCCAGTCTTACTGCTGAAGCCCACTATCAAACAGCCATTCACCTTGCCGAGTCATGTGTGAAGTCTTTCTCTAGGCATTTAATTAAAAAGTAGCCAAGTGTAGCCTTTTGGAAAGGTCCAGCGTTCTAAAGGTGTTTTATGTGTGGCTGTGCGACATGACTTTCCTTTCCAAGTTTCCTTCACAAAATTACTAGTTTCCTGGAGAATCCGCCGGAAGACTCACCAAGTTATGTAAGGAGCATGAGAGAAATGTTCCATTTTAGCACAGTATGGGGCATTAGCAAGGAAGACATTAAAATGGTAGCGCTTGGGAAGCAGCGAGGGAACATTGAAATTTCCTAGGACGTTCTGTTTCAGAACCATCCCTACATGCCGAAAATTTGAAAGGAAACTCTAGCATGAGGCAGCTATGTTGGAATTCGTGAGCAAATTTGACACTGAGTTCTGAACTCAATGTACTGGGTATATGTTGCTTGCTCACTAAAGAAAGTAATTGTCCCTCCCATTTATTTGTAAGTTATTTTTAGCCAGCTGTTCGTCATAAGTTGCCAGGTGATAAGTTATGACAATATAACACACCATTATGAAAACAGATAAAACAATTTAAATTACAAAAACAACTAAATTTGAATTACAAAAACAACTAAAACAACAGAAGATGTTTCAGCCAGAACAAAATAGCCTAAATTCAGTAAAAGTGGTTCTGGCCTCACCAATGAATTGGTTCATGCCACAATGTATTTGTTAGTTTCTAAGATGCCACTAAACCATGGGTAGGCAAACTAAGGCCCGGGGGCCGGATCTGGCCCAATTGCTTTTGATATCCAGCCCATGGACAGTTCCGGGAATCGGTGTGTTTTTACATGAATAGAATGTGTCCTTTTATTTAAAAACACATCTCTGGGTTATTTGTGGGGCCTGCTTGGTGTTTTTGCATGAGTAGAATGTGTGCTTTTATTTAAAAAGCATCTCTGGGTTATTTGTGGGGCATAGGAATTCGTTCGTTATTATTTTTCAAAATATAATCCGGCTCCCCACAAGGTCTGAGGGTCAGTGGACCAGCCCACCGCTGAAAAAGTTTGCTGACCCCTGCACTAAACTCTGCTGGCTTTGGAGAAGGAGATGGAAGTCAATGGACAGATTATTTTGTAGCACCATAGAGCAGGAAGGGACCTCGATTCTCTTCTTATATGGGGTTTCCCAGAATGGTTGATAATGACCCCTTCTGGGGTTGATGTGACTGTGCAGCAGGTTAATAAAACTCCAGGGGTCAAATAAGGGACATAGGAGCCAACTCCCAGGGGCTGTGGGGGCTTCGGGTTCCCCAATAAAATATTTGATGGCGCTGGGCTCCCACAAAGTTGATGGGCATTTCCATTCAAATTGTGCCTGTGTGCTCTGTGTCATGTGATTGTTATGTACTGAGTTAAATAGGATCCAAAATGCAGCAGTCTGATTGGCCCTAGAACAATAGGATTCAGAATGCAGCAGTCTGATTGGTCTGCAGGAACCACCCAATCCAGCCCCATATGGAAGTGAATCCACAACCTGATTGGCCTACAAGAGAATTCCGGAATTAACCAATCATGTGCAGCCCATAGTGTAAATAATGTATATAAAGCAGATACTTTGGGGAAACTTTCATTCCCTCCTCACCACTATGAGCTGAATAAAGAGCATGAAATCCACTCCCGACTCTGAGTATATTTCAGTTATCAATTTTGCAGGGCAGGCCTTACTAAGCTAGCCCCCCCCAATATTTTATTCAAGTTGGCACCCCCGATGAGGGATGAAAAGAGCTCAGGGGGTGAAAAATTGCGTGAGGTATCAGTGCCTCTAAAGAATAAGGGGCACAAATGCGTACAGAGTACACCTCCCTTATTTATTTATTATTTCATAAAAATTATACACCGATTGAGTGTAAAAAAACCCCTTCCTTGCCAATGAGGAACCTCTGCTTTTAATAATACAATTTGACAATAAAAAAGTATTCCTAATTTTCCCCCACGTTATGATTCCCAGGAACGATGATCATTTATAAATGTTGACTATACACTGATATTTCTTTGACTTGTGTCATTTACATTCCTAGGAATCTGAGTCAAACACATAAGAAAAGCCTGCTGGATCAGGCCAATAGACC